AGCTGTCATTTTCTCTTACTCCCCTCTGACTCCCTGTGCACTACTCCCTTTATCTCTTCCTCCTTCTCTCAGCTTTGCATTTGGTTTCATGCTGCCTCCTATTCCTGGAACAGTCTCCCAGTCTCTGCTGCCAGATTCACCCTCCCTCTCTCTTCTCTTGCGAACCTGTTTCTTCCAGCAATCATTTCTAGGTTGTTTACTTGACTGATTGTCTGTACGCTTTCTTTCGTGTATTTGTTGTTCTGGATCGTGTTTCTTATGTGAGATGGTGCATATTGCAGGATAAGTAGTATATTTGTCAGTGTTGTGTCGAGCATTGTTTGCATTAGCTCTTTATACAATGATTAGTAATCAATTCTCCTTACCGTTTTGAGTGCAGACTTTCTCATTACGTTAATTGTTCACTGTTTTCTGTATGCTGTTAAAGAGCAGCCGTGTTTTATCTTAAGGTATGTCAGTATAGGCAGAGTGCAGTAGTTTTTATCAATTTGTGTGATATGGTGGTAGAAAACACATGGCTCTGGGCAAATTTGGTACTTGGTAATATTACTGTCATTGCACAGCTTCACTGCTGGTGGTAATTGTGGTTGCATGACTCTTGTTTTTCAGCATAGATTGGCACTTGGTGGCATATGTGGAGGTGTATCTGCTTACCATTTATAAAGCACTTCGGTGTCCGTGTTTGTGGAATAGCTCTTACCATGAAAACACTTGCAGAAAAGCACAGGCTCCACCGCGTTAGTATACATACATGTTGGTGAGTGGTAGTGTTGCTGTATGCAAGTGGTGGATGAAGTCATCAGCTTTTGCAGTGCCTCCTGTAGGCTGAATACCTTGTAATACCATCTACCCAGGCTAGACTAGGAGAAAAGGGTTCTGCTTCCCTTGGTGGGATTGAACACCATGGCCCCGGCTGATGCCCCATTCTGCCTGGGGAGGATTTCACTTTTATGGCAATTCTGTTCTTTCCATTCCAACTGAGTGCAAGGCAGTTTGACCATTGATTTGAAAAACGGGTTTGGAGATTTTCTGTTTTCAATTCAATTATTTGAACCCAGTTAAAGATTTATTTAAAATATATATTTTTTTTGTTGCTTTAAATTAAGTTTCATAATAAACTGTATTCCAAAGGCATTCATTGTCTTAAATGCCACTTCTGATAATAGCTTACCTAATATCTTACTGCTGTACTTGAAACAGTAATACTTTCATAACTAAGTTTATCCTATTGATATTTAATAAAAGCTTGCAAGCTGGCTCACAAGAGTGACACAATTAATTTTGACATGGAGGTTAAGGCTATGTTTTTTCATCACCAGAATCTAAAATCAAACTTTAAATTTCTTCATGGAAAAAACAATCTGTTGCTTCAAAAACAAAATTGTTTCTATATTGCCAGTGAAAAATGAATCAGACTTTCAGTAGTTTAGTTTTAGTGTGAAGTTTATTACCTATATGCATTAGAAAAAAATCTTGAAAACAGCTGATTTAGTCCCCACAATGCATATTTGGGCACCTGACAGTTTTCAGCATCCAGCTCCTTTTGTCTTCAGCTGTAGTCCCTGACGGAAATGTGCAGTCTGCTCAAAATGCTTGAGCTTTCCTGACTTAAAAAAACTTCAGTATTATCAGAGGGTTGATTCGATTGCAAATATGACTGCGTTTGTTCCTGAGTTTGTCTGTTAATTAGGAGGTTAATGAGGTCCTAGGCTTATCCTTCCCTGCCTAAGGGAATATTTAAAAGATGCAACTTCATAGTGGAAAAAAATCCTAGTTGTAATCAGTTGACTAATTAAAAATGCAAGAATGTAGCATCCACTTTAGAAATTAAGCCTATAAGATGAGAAGAAAGTGAAGAACTAGTGACTTGTAATTGCAGTAGCAGTTTTAAATGAATTAATATATTTGAGAGGTATGTATTTTGAAATCATGGGTTTTATGTGCCCTTGTTGATTGTCTAAATGGTCTCTTCAAGGGGGAAGAGAAGGTAGGATGTTGGAACTCCTGTTTAAAAATGGTAGAGAATATGGCACAGTGCAAGCTGTGGTGTGGAAATAAGTGTGCGTTGGCCTGTGTCGCTCTACTTTTGTAACAATTACAAACACAGATGGTCTGAGAAAAAAATAAATAAATTCCACCCACGTTGAGACAGGGAAACCTAACAATAGCTAACAACTCTTTAACACCCTGTTCCTCTAGCAAACTCTTTCCTGCTGTCTCTTTCGTACCCCTGCATGCGTGGAAAACTCCGACTAGCGTGTGAAGCTGCTGTGGGGTCTGTCAGGGCCATAAGTATCCCCACAGGGTCTGGTTGCCCTGACCTTGTCTGGGGCTTTCTCCTACCCACCTCCTCCTCCTCCTCCTCCCGTCCTGCTTCTGGGTTGAGGACAGGCCCCCTCCAGCTTCCTTGGGCACCCCCTCTCTCCCCTCTCTGGGTGACGCTGGCCCCAGCTCAGGGGCAAGTTGGCCGTGGGGGCCTTGGTCACCCCAACCTGCGGCAGCTCCTTCCCGAGCCCCACGGCTCCAGCATGGCAGAGCGGCTTCTTCCGTGCTCCCGCCGCCCCCAGGAGCTGCCCTGGAGCCGCTCTGGAGCCCTCTCCTTCCCCTTGTTTGTTTACTCATGTTGCCTTGGCTAAGCCAAGCTTACCGCTTTCTGAAATCACTTTTTCTACTCTTTCTGAAGTGAGTTTGTAAGGTGTTAAAAGCTGTCTTGCAATAGCCAAGCCTGCAAAAATGTGAATATTTTGTTTTTCAAGTCTAGAAAACTTACTTATTTCAGTTGCACCAGGGTAATAGAGAACTGAATATTAGAAACTAAAAAGAGTGGGAGGATAGGGCTTTAACGTCACACTGGATTGAGGTCTTTTGAGTAGACCTAAGCTGAAGGCAGGCAGGCAGGGAGTTGCTGTGCACAGCTGGGGAACGTGTTCCTTTACAAGCCCAACAAATTCAGACCATGTGAATCTTAGGTTCAAATACACGATAACAGGTAAGCACAACCTTTTCTGAGGTTTTACACTTTGGTAGAGCATACTTACAGCTTTCTTCTGATGCCAGCTTGGACAAGCTCTCAGTGTAACAGTGTAACCTGTTAGAGTTGGTCTTATTGTCTTATGTTCCTGGATAAAATAGATTTGAAAAAAAAGATAAGCTCCTATGGGTTACCTGCCAGGAGGAAGCAGTTGAATATATGAGATCAGCCTCTTGCTAACTGAGGTGAAATGTTTAAAGCATAACTCAAAGGGAGGAATGGTTGGAGTACTCTCATAGCTAATACAGATGAAGTGTCATACCTTGCATTTCTATATTAAGACACTTCAACTCTGACTTGACACCAAGTTGTTCGTGTTTTTGCTGCAATTTGACTTTATTTCCCTACTTGATTAAATTACTTAGGAGAAGACAGCAGAGGAGACATTTGTTCTCTACAACAGAATCATTTATCTGAATTGTGATAGCAGGGTGCATGAGGGAATGGAAATTAGATCCTTGTCCATATCTAGTGTGGAAGGAACTGCATTTATTTCCTGTTCTCACAGCTGAGTTGGAGATGTTTTGCCATGATGAAGCATACTTGTTGATTACTGATGTAGGGAGAAGGCTGAAGATGGCATGTTCCCACAATTTGGGGTGACTGAGGTATTCGCTTATCACCTGGGTGGGACTGGAGAGCATCTTGGAGGCTCCCCGTGTGGCAGGCTCCAAACCTGCGCTGCTGCTAATTCTTCATCCCACAGCTCCTAGTGGCTGCAGTTGGGTGCCGACGTCTCCTGTGCAGATACCTGGTTTTGGTAAACGGTTTGGGTCTGAGCGTGCATAGGCATAAATGTCAGGGGAGGCAGAAAACAGAAGGAAAGATAATTCCAGAATAAAATTATGAAGTTTTTGTGGCAGGCTGATATCTGATATTAGAGTTTAAGCAGCATATGAAATAAAGAAGTGGAGATATCCCTTTGGGTATCTGTGAGGAAGGTGCCCCCTTTCTCTCATGCGAACAGTAGCATTAGAGAGGCCCGTGCAGCTGCAGAGTGGTGATGTCCCCTCGACTGGTGGAGAGCATTGCCCTCCGTGAGCCCTCCCTGTGCCAGCATCCATGCCCGCTTTCCTTTTCATTCCAGCAAATGTGTGCAGCTGACAAGCTGCATGTTATTTTTATTAAGCAGGTAGCATCAGCGACCGCTGAATGCTGAAGAGTTGTGTGTTGTTGTTTTTGTTTGTTTGTTTTACATTTCTTACATTTTGTTGTTTGCACATCTGATCTTTAGGCAGGCTGAAGAGCGAGCGAGCAACTGCTTTCTCTCCCTAAACTTGTCCTGTGCCAGGACAGTGAAGCAGGCAGGGGCTTGTGGTGCTGACATTCAGTTTGAGGAAATACGTCAGTGCAAAAGTTTGAAGTTCTCCTGCTTTTGAAGATTAGTCAGGTTAGTTGCAGTGACTGTGGTATGATGGGGAGGAGGCAGGGAGCTGAAAACCACATTGCCTGGAATCTTTTATCAGAAAGACTTTTTGTGGGTCAGAGGAAAGGCTTGGTTTCACATTGTTAGCAGGTTACGGTGGGCCTTGCCCCTGTCATTTGCAGGGGAAGGACTAAACCTGTTTCTTTTTTATACTGTGAAGGAGTAAGAAAAGAGGGATCTACTGCAAATGAGGTTGTTGGTGGAAGGGATATGCTTGACTTGATGTATCCAAATAGCGCGAACCTTGCAGGAACCGTGAGACTCCAGAGCAGTCCCCCTTGGAGCTGGCCTGGGCTGCGTGCGCACGCTTCTCCAGGATCTGTGCCTTAGCAATGCCCTCAACTTCGTTATGCTGGCATGAGCATAAATTCAAGTCTGCAATTGTATTTCCTTTGCGCTGGGCTGAGAGGAGGTCACACAGGCCTGTTTAGCATGGATTGTAGTTTAGTGCTCTTGCAGAAGGTATGAAGTCACACACCTGTCTGCAGGGGGAAAAAAAAGTAATGACTACTTCATCGTACAGCTCTTCTCCTCCTATTTCAGGCTGACACGTTCTGAACCTACTGGCCCGCTGGCAGCTTTTGTGCTTACCACAGATCTGTGCTGAAAAAGGCCTGTCCTTGCCTGGGGACTTGCCTGAGCAGAGCACAGAGCTGGCTGGAGTCTGCAGGAGTATCTGTCGGGGCAGGGTAGGCACCATTAGTTTTTCTTACCTCTTTGATCTGCGTTCTGTATTCTTTGGGTAGTCTCTCACCACAGGGTTTGACCTGCAATGGGTGGTAGCTGAAACACATGCCCAGAGCCCAAAAATGAGTTTGGTTGGCAGTTATAGTACAATATGGCTGTAAATCCCACAGTATTTTTTTTAATTTATATTTTTTATCCAGGATGTGGACTGCAACCAGCATTCGTTCTTTTGCAGGCTTACTGCTTCTTTTGTAGCGTGGCTAAGTGTGCTCTGCTGCTGCTACTTAACATATTCTTCACATTCACAAGAGCGGAGTTGCACTTTGGAGGCCTGGCACATAGCTATCACCGCCGACAGGGGAGAGGTTGCCGTGTCTCTCAGTGAAGCAGACAAACGAGGAATTTTGTGTCATGATGACACCATTAAAATGGAATGGGTTGGAAAATCAATCAGATTCCTTCTCTGATTACTGTGCAACTCAATTACTGCATCCCTCTGGGGCCCAAAGCAGCAACCGTTGCACAGAAGTATAGAAGAGCGAGCTGTGAACTAGAGCTGTTGTAGGCAAAGGACGAGATCCTGCCACTGTGCATTCCAGAAAGATGGGTTATATTATGACTAGTAAAAGAGCTGGAGAAGTGTACTCATGATACTGTTTTTTAGGATGATAAGACCTTCTGTGGCATGGCTGAAAGAGAGCAAGTATGACAAATTCTTGATAATGGTGTCAAGTGACATCCATTATCTTCTGTATCCCTGGGCACAAACATTACCGTCAGCCCCAAATATATATATACACACACATACACATACATACCCGCAGACATATATATATGTGTATACATTTTTTTTTTTTTTCCGGTCACTGGTTTTGGACAAGTGCTTATCTTAAGCATTTGTAATGATTTCCCGCAATAATTTCCAAGCATGGGAGATTTCTGGCTATCAAACACTAAAACTACACAATTCTGATTATTATCTTGCTTTCTTACCATATCATTTGCCATGTGCTTTTAGCAGCTGATAATTCACAAAACGGTTTATGTTTCACATTAACACTGTATATCACTAGGAAACAGAACATCTAAGTTATATAAAGCATGCATCTGAATGTCGGTGATTTGTGAGATAGCTAGCTGACCTTAGAAGTGGTGTTCTGACGCAGCGATGCTTTCCTGGCAGGACAGGAGCCCACTGCACCGGGGTCCTTGCAGCAGTGTAATACTTCATCCTTGCTGTGCCTTCTGACACCCTCCTCCTACAGTTTGCACTCAGGTAATCCTGGCAAATTTGCGGTAAAGGAGTTTGGAATAGATCTTAATTTATTTATAAACTTGAGTTTTTTCAAGTGTTAGTTTCCAAGGAGTTTGATCTCAAACGAGGAGCCGGGTACTTCCGTCTTCTTTAGGAGAGAGCAATTTTCCGTGTGTGTATGTGTGGGGTTTTTTTAAGTGCAGATCTTTCTGGGATTTGCGTTTTGGCTATGAGTGGTTTCTGACAGTTCTCACCTTGTAATATAAACTTTGGTTGGTGTTTTTGTTGTGTTGCCCTTTTTATTTATTTATTTTTTTAACCAGCTGATGCAGTCCCCAAAGAGCTTAATGCATACTATGCCAGCTGGCATGCCCTCTGGCTGTGAAGCCTTGTTAAAGAGATCGGAGCTGACAGATTCTTGAGCAGCAATCTGATACAGGCCTTTTTTTTATTTGTTTTTTTGAGCTCACCCATGTAACAAATGGGGGCTTGTTTGGGAACTTCGCTAGAGGGCTGAATGGAGTCATTGTTATCCAAACACTGCTGTGATTCAAAAGTGTCCAGCAAAGGGGATTCCTCTCCCTCTTGCCCCTCAGCTGGGCACTGCAGGTGTGGCAGCCCAGCTTAAACTCTGGTTTCATTCTTATTCTGCAGAATAATCCGGTTGTCCTGTGATTTTCGTCTTTCAAATGATAACCAGGAGGCTGAAGCTACAGCTCTTTGCAAAATAGAGACTCAGTTCAGCACTGAAAATGAAGTTGAAGAGGTGAGTGAGTGGAAGCAGGGAACAGAAGTGTTTCCCAGGGTGCTGTTTTGGGGGTGGAGAGTTGCAAAAGTAATATAATACTTTGCCAGGCTTTCCAAAGGATCAGTATGCTTTATGTTTTCTTGCTGTTACAGTGATGTTTAGATTACAAACTCCATCAAGTAAACGCTTACTTGGAAATCTCTGTGGGCAACCCATGGGCTCCTGAGCTGATAAGTCCCTCTTTAACTATTTTCTCCTGCAAGAACCACTGCTAGCGTGGTACCTCTGAAGATAGTGAGTGTTTCAGAATAATCTAATTATTCTATTTTAGCCAATGGGATTAGAAAAAAAAAAGTACATGAGCTACTAAGGAAGATATTGACTTGCAAATCTCAGCCTTCTCAGTCAAGACTGAGTATGAGGAATCTGAGTGGAGTGTTTTATATGAATTTGTAATATGGTAATAGAATGAAGACCGCATCTCATTGCAGCTGAGCTCCATCTCATGCATGGAGCTGTGTATATTGTGTGTCTTACAGGGAACTCACCTCGTACAAAAGATACAGCGTTTATTAGATGTTTCTACCCGACCTTTATCTTTCCACCTGAACTGTGGCTCCATTTACTACTGTCTCTCTGCAGTTCAACATGACTTCAGCGCTCAGGGCCGTGTAGGGCCAATGCAATGGGAAAGGCCTGGTGTGGGTGTGGGAAGGTTATTCTCCTGCTTGCTTTTGAACAGTGGCACGAGTTTTTGGATACTAAGCTGGTACGCTGGCAGTCCCCGTTGACTTGAACTGAAATAATGAACCATATCCTGCAGTCAGTCCAAAGGGTCAGGCATTCAAAACAGTTGTGACTTCAGTAACAAAAAAGGGAAAAAAAATCAATCTGAACTCCAGTTCTTACATCCTACCAGGGTTATTTCTCCCCCTCTCACGTGCGTTTTCCAATAAAAGGTTAATAGTGTGTAGAGAGAGAAAGATGATCAGTCCTCTGTGTTGAAGAACATGTTGCATCTTGTCACTGGCTGAGCTGAATTTCCAAAGCCAGCTCTCAGTAGAGAGGGGCATTTGGGGATGGAGAGAGACAGGATCCAGGTGGAATCTGAGGAACAGAGTTTTTTCAATCTTCATTCTTCTGCAGCCTGCCAGTGTGACCTTAAATTGGGTTTCCTGTGTCTCACTTTCTCCAGTGGAAAGTTATTGGTGTAATGTACTTTACATTTATACTCTACAGCTATTCTGAGGATCTCATCAGGGCTAAGGTTTCATTGTGCGCTGCACAAACCAGCCCCTGCCCTGCTGAGCTTACAGGATAGAAGTTATGTAGATAATACTTATTGATCATGCTTGTGTAAAGAGCGTTCTGACCCTTTTCTCTCCTCCGACACAAAGATACTGTATCTGTTCTTATGAAGTTTGCTTCTCTTTTTGTCTGTGCTTCAAGCTGTACCAAGAGCTTGGAGAAGAGCCTGGTGGGAATCTTTAGAGTTTGACTTCTGGCCTCATCTGTGAAATGATCTTTTCCCTGACTCAGAGGGATTTTTTTCTGTTTAGTAATACACATTACCAAATGAGCATCTGTCTCAAACAAGCAGTTTCTTTTCTTTGCTGGTGTAGATAGTTGTTAAAACCCTGACTTACTATATACAAACCTAATGCCTGTTTTTCCCCTGTGGACAAATAGGTCTTCTAATATTATTTCTGTATCAGAGTGGTTGTGACAAAAAGTCTTTTTAAAGGGACGAATGGAGAAAGGAAGATGAACTATCTGTTCTGGTAGTACTACCTTTTGATATTGTTGCTCCTGTGCTTCCTGGCATTGTAAGCTATGCCAGTCGAGTAGGTGGGTAGAAGGACTGTATGTGGTGGAGCACGTGTCTGCAGGAGTGTGGGTGTGTGAGTGAGAAAAGTTCTTGAGAGAGAGAGAAGTTTGGGGTTTTTAAAAAAAAAAAAAAAAACACAAAAAAACACTTTTACAGAGAGCTTATTGTGAGCATGACTCACTTGTTGAGCAACATCTGGCATTTGGGGTGTCTGCACCAGCTTCAGATCAGCCTATGTTGGGAGGGGACAACAGGTGCTCCCTAAAAATGTGCCTGTATCCCAACACCTGGGAGTTATTCATGTGTTTACAGTAGGTAGTCACATTTCTGGTAAGGGAGAGAAAACTACACCGTGATTTGTTTTTATTTTTAAAGTAAGGGTAGTTTAGTTACTTTCCCTGGTGTTTACATTTAGACGGCTTGGTGTTTGTTGGCTTTGCTGAGCATTTTATACTGGAAAAATAACAACATATGGTGAAATAGTCTGCTGTCATAAATGCAAAGCAGGAGGTAAGAGAGCTTCGCAATGAGAGGTGCTTTCACGTGTATGAGAGTAGCCCAAATTCACTTTGTGCTGCTAGTGATTTAAAACTGGCTCTTCAGCGGCATATGAGAAAAGGCGAGGAAGGTTTCAGGAGGTGTTTGCTCTCCCTCTGCTGCTAAAAAAAACAGTGATTAGTCTTGCAGCTTATGGGCAGCCTGTGTCCCCTGCTACTGATTCCTAAGGGAGGAGGCTTCCCCAAGAGTGGTGTTTTGAGAGCCCCAGAAGAACATGGGTTCACAGGATAAGTGAGGCAGCCTCATAAAATGGGTGGGAATCATGGAAATGAGGAGCTGTGGGGCAAGAGGGCCAGTTTGAATTTGAGGCATCCTACTTGATTCTGGACAGTAGTATCCCAAGGGCCCAGGAAGTCACCTGGCAAGGACTCGCACATCATCATTAGTATGAGAACAAGTCAAGAAAGAGAACGCAATGTCCATCTCCTACTCCTGTTAATCTTGAAATATAAGTAGGAATAAAAGTGGTCCATATCTTGTGTTCAGTGGCATAAGGAGAAGTGGGAGAAGGCCAGGTACACTAGCTCTATGTACTGTAGGGTGTTCAAATCCC